TTGTACCTGTATCTGGCTGTGAATTACTTAAATAATCTGAGTATCGTTTGTCAAATCTTGTGCCTCCACAAACTTTTCAGAACAGGAACTGACCTTCAGACTGCAACAAAGCAGGCATATTCCCTAACAAGGTGTCTAATCAAAACCATAGATTTTAATCAAYGAATCCTTTACTACTTCTTACAAATGTTGTAAAARCACACGATTCTGAAGTGACTACAAATGAAAGTCTGTCTGTCTTGATTTATGTGTTGGGTACTGAGGGAAGGCGCAGTCCAAAGCTGTCCAAAGGGCCAACCAACATTGTATTCAGTGCTAAACATTTATGAGGTGAGCATCGTTAACACTAAACAACCAGGATCTATAGAAATCTGTGTCCGTTTAAAAGAAGCRGAGGATTATTGAGTTTTTTTCTTGTTAAAAGTTTGTTTAATTTGTTCATTTTTGCTCCCTATTGTCTCTGTAACGATGTCAGAATCATCTGCAGAATATTTCTCAGACTCATTTCTCTCAGAGTTTGAAAAGAATGGGGTAGCTGAAAAGAGATCTAGGTGTGTTTGAACTTTCCTCCGAGGACGCTTGAAGCAGAAGCTGAAACAACAAACAAACTGATGTGATATGATCATAGTTTCTAGGTGTTTGTCTGACTCAAAGCAGACTTAATGCTACAGTCAATTTTCCAGCAGCAGCACCAGGATGGAAGTTTCCAGATGAGTCCTGCAGACAGACTGTTGTCACTGTCCTCTGAAAACAAAGCTCTGCTCCAGCTGTCAAGKTGCACCATGCTGAAGTTGTCCTTATTGTAGTGGCAGGGTGGCCCTCTGTCCTTTACAAAAACAAACTTAACAGGAAATGGAAAGAAGCTGGGGGAAACAGCTCAAACTCCCCCTGACATACACTTAATCTGCCTCAGGATGGAAAAAAAAATCCTGATTTCTTTATCAGATTCAGGCTGTAAAAACAGTCAGGGGATTTAGATTTATTTCCTTTTCCTCATTGATCACTGAGTCCTGTTTTTCTTCTTAAAGGTAACCGGAAAGCATTGTGAAACCTCCAGGATACTAYGTTGCATGGAGGATTATGAGACTTACGTGCCTGTAACTGCCTTTTACAGCCCTGTAGAGACTTTCCACCTAAAAGGGCTCCCGTCAGTCAAATGTCTTAAAACYGCAAGCAGTTAAATGAACGTTTCTTGAGAAATAAAGGATTTATATGTTAACAATCTTCAACATAAATATCTTTATTGTATAAAACTTAGTAGGGACTTGTTTTTTATTAATCTAAGCTGAAAAAATGTCTAAGAACCACTGCGTTAACCACCTCCCTCCATCTCACTCGTTGACATCACTCTCAAGGCAAAAAAAAAAAAACAGATGAAAAAGTAATTAACTGTGCAAAAACTCTGTCATAATGAAAACAAAATCAGAGTTAAATAAAGTAC